CTATTTAAAAGAGGAAAATAATGAAGTACCAGAGACCAAAAACAAAACAAAAATACATTATTTAATGGTGCATGAAAGAAAAGATTTTCAGTATCAGCTAACCAGCCAACCTTCCTCCCTCCTTCCCTCAAGATTTATAGCCTGCCACATTCCAAGCAGACTCTTGGAATCAAGACTCAAAAATATCAACAAAAAAGTGTACAAAATATATCATTAAAATCAGTATCATAGGTGCTTTGGCTTGCTTATAAAATGCCAACAAGTTCATCCATCTGTACCTCTGGGGGAGAGGTATGCCACAAAGTATGGGCCACCATTGAGAAAGCCTGCCTTCTGGTCCATACTCCATGAACCTTGTGAAGAAGCGGGCGGGGGGGGGAGGTTTGCAACAGGCCCTCTCTTACTTTTTCATGGAAGAAGCATACATGATCAGATGTATGATGTGAATCAATGCATGTAGCTGAGTTAAAATTGTTGACAGTAGGGAAAATAAAAGGATGATAATTCAAATCAACCAAATCAATCATTAAATAATAGGAGATGCTAGTAAACCCTCATTACATTTAAAATGCATGTTGATCACATATTTGGAATTGCTGTTCAGAGGGAGGAGGAGGAGGAGCCGCCACTTTTTCTGATCAGATATTGGAATGTTGGATAGCAGTCTAAGCTCACTAATGCTGTTCAAAGACATGAGGTACAGTGATCAAACATGGTTACCTTGGTAGACCAACTAAATTACCTGTATTGAAAGATCTATATCCATTACAATCATAAAGTTAATTTGGGTCCTACTGGATAAGATTTTGTTTTTGTATGTGCATTCCCATTACACAAAACTTACTACAAATAGAGATGGAATGGCCATGTGTTTTGGCAAACCCAGTTTAGACCAGCATTATTAATCATTTTCATAATAGTTGGATTTATACTTAAAAATTTTAATATGTATGTTCTGCTTTGCCTTTTTTGCTGTTACTGCTCCAGATGTTTATTTTTGTTGTGTTTTGTTAGCTTTATCAGTTCATGGTACCTTAAAAAATAATTGATGTATTCTTTTGCTGTGTTTTCTTTTTTGAATTCTGTTTTGAGGATTGCATAAAAATATACATATTTTAATTGAAAATTTCAGTTAATCCTCTGCTCCTTTTAAGAATGCAGATAGAATTTAAGAATTGTTTTCTGCAATAATTAATATGGTTATGTTTTAATACAGGGCTTTAATATAGAATTGTACATATGCAGTCTACAGTTTAATAAACATTTATTTCCGTTTTCTTGTGCTTTGCAGCTCTCTGAGTAATATTAAAATCTGGTTAGTCAGAAGCAAGAAACAACTGAAAAACATATCATTCTAAAATAACAAGCATTTTTATATGTCAGGATTGTCTTATAGTATATGTCTACCTTGCAACATATGACAAATTTGAGCTAAATTTGGAATGATAGATTAACCTTAGCAATTAGGTTGCTCTGACATATTGCTAAAGGCCTTTCAGACTGTTCTGGGATTAAATACCGAGAAACCAGTTGAGTTTAGCTCAGCTTTCTTTCTCATGTGGTAGAGCAGTGTAACCTTTCTTGGTGTAATTACCAAATCTCTGAGTTATGAAGTATGACCATCTAAATATGAAATTGCTCTAATAGGCTGAATGGAGAGAAGAAGTAAAGAAGCACTTTGAAAAGATTAAAAGTGAAGGAACTTGTATACACCGGTTAGATGAAGAACTTATTCGTCGTAGAAGAGAAGAACTCAGGTCTGTTCTTATTTAAGGGATTAAGGCGATTACTGGGTTAGATTAAGAATCCATCTACTTTAGCATACCTTTCCCAACAGGATCCAGCCAGTCATATCTGGGAATTCCAAAAGGAGCACATGAAGGAAACTGCTCTCTTTCTAGCAGTTGGTATTCAAATATGTAACTTCTGAACCTGGGAGATGCATTTAATTATCATGACAACTGTCTATTGATCAATGCATCCTCCCTAAATTGTCTAATCCACTCTTTCCAAACCAGTCTCTTCTAGATGTGTTAGGATTATACTGTACTTCCTTAATTTCTGGGAGCTGTAGTAGAGACTGCCAGATTGGGAAAGGTTGATTCACTCTGTTTTTGTCAAGAGTATATTGTGTAAAACAGTATTGAGTTTTTATCAGTTTTGAACCATAACTAATTGTTTTCACTAGGTGCACCTGAATTTTGGCAAAGAGACAAAATAATATTATCTATTTCTAAATAAACCATGTTTTTGTTTTGACATTTAAACATTTTCATAACTTTTGTCTGTTTTAAAAACTACATTTGACATGTTTGAGAATAATTTTGCGTAAGTATATGCTGTTGGTTATGAAAAGAAGTTGTGCAGTTGAGACTGTCAGCTCTTTTCTTTTCATAGGCATGCCTTGGACATTCGTGAACATTATGAAAGAAAACTTGAAAGAGCCAATAATCTGTATATGGAACTCAGTGCCATCATGTTACAACTGGAGGTTCGAGAAAAAGAGCTCCTCAAGTATGTATATCCACCTATGTGTACAGTATAGTCTATGTAAGGAATCTTCCTTTGAGTGCCATGGTGAAGTGTCTTACTGGCTTGCTGGCTAGTAAGATAGCTTTTGCAAGGGAAATTGCAGCTGGATGCTGGATCTGGCCAGTGTAATCTCTCCAGAACAAACGAGAGATCGTTAAGATCATCCACGTGACTCCGGACAGCCACTACTGTGAGTAAACTGTGGAAACTCTCGTTTTACAGTCGGCTTATGAGTAGAGTGCCTGGGAGTCAGGATTACATCAAGCGCATGCTCGCAAAGCAGCCTTATGGACATTAAGCTTGACCGAGCCTTATATCTTAATCACCTTTTTGGATTATTTTTTTTATTTTTTTGTATATTGGAGAGATTAAGACCCTTTGGACTGGCAAGGTTTTGCTGTATTCATTGGATGAGTCTCTGCCTCCTTAAAAGATGATGGTATAAATTTGAACGTTTTGAAAATATGTGATTTTTTTTTGGATTCTACAGCAAAAGGGTGCTTAGTATATGGATTTTGGAAAGTTAATAACGGATTAAGGGGCCAGAGGGATCTGGAATTATCATTTTGAATTAATTAGAAAATATCTTCTTATGGGAAAATGGCGATTGCTTTGGTTTCTTTATGATAAGGAGACCTTGAAGGTTGGACATTACAGGGACCCAGAGGACAAAGAAAATGGAGCAAAATCCTTAGTGCAAACTTTTGAATGCCTCTCAGCCAAGTTACTGGATAGAATGGATCAATTGTTTGAGAAACTGCATAGAACTTGCTTTAATGAAGTTGTAAAACAAGAACAAGTTGCAATGAATGTCTATGAAATTTGAAAGAGGATTTAAATGTAATATAAATGGATTTGATGGATGGCTTATCCCCTAAAGTAGATGAACAGATATTAAACCAGGAAATTGATTTGGATAATTTTTTTCTTCTGGATGTACAAAAGAGTTCTGCTAAGGTTTGGAAAGACTTTTTTAGAAGTGACAAATGAAAAGATAAACTTTAACTAATGGACATGCAAATCTGTTAAAGTTCTGAAGGATTTTTGCTTGGATACACAGATGACCAGCAAACTATCTCTGGGACTTTTTTTGAAGGGGTTAAAGAATAATTTTAAAAATTGAGGGAAGGTTTATAATGTTGGCTTGCTTGATGAGGGCTTAAAGAGGAAAATAGTTATATCTGGTTGCCCTTACTGGACTTTTGCTGACAAAGAACGATTGATGAAGCATTTGGATTTTGTTCTTGTTTTTTTACCTAAGAGATGAGTTATGGGGAGAAGAGTGATTATGTTTTGTTTAGAGATGGTGATAAGCCATTAAAATTGTCTTTACCTACTGAGATGAAAGGGGAAATTACTTTTTCTTTTTTTCTTTTTTTTCTTTTTTTCCCTTTTTCCCTTTTTTCTTATTTTTATTTTCTACACTCCCTCCCCCACTTTTTACAATTTCTGTTTGATTTTTTTGCAGCTTGTATTGACTTTTATTCTTTTCATTTATAATTCTTAATAAAATTATTTGAAAAAAATGTATAGTCTATTTAAGATTGTTTTCATAAGAATTCTGTTTTTAACAAAAAATTAATTTCCTTACCAAGGATAATTGACTCCAAAATTGGGGGAATGTTTATTCTGTATGCTAAGCACCTTTTTCCCTAATTGAAGTTGTGAAGAAGAAAAGTATTCCTTTGCAGAAAATGGTAGTTCTGTTGAATTTTTTTATATTTGGATATTGATGTGAGCCATAACTAGGATTTCTGACAACTTTGGTTCTCGCCTTACAGGGTAATTATGTTTTTCCAACTGCCAAAATGTATACTTTAACATGCTTTGCTTACAACAGTTTGTAAATATTTGAGTAACTTTCCTTTGACTAAGACAAGATTAAAAACTTTATTTTTTATTTTACATACAGACGGGAACAAGCTGTGGAAAAAAAGTATCCTGGAACTTATAAGCGTCATCCTGTCCGACCAATAATCCATGCTAATGCAATGGAAAAATTGATGAAGAGAAGAGGAATCTCCCACAAATCTGGGGGGCAGACTAAACGGTGAGGCAAATAACCATAGTACATTCAAGGGGGTTGCTTTTCATAATGATTTCCTCAACTTCTTTGAATAACAATTTCTGATCACTGAAGCAATGGTGATTTATGGGCAATAAATCAGTAATATATGAATGTGTGCGTAGTTTGCTACCTAATTGCTTTGAAAAGAACTTAATAGCCACAAATTGATATGTTCACAATAACCAGATAAAATGGTTATATCATAATTATTTGAAGCTGCCTTGAAGCTTTGACAATAAGATATGTTATACATTTAGAAAATAAACAAATTTTATTTATTTATTTAGAACATCCATATGGCCGCTCAACACAAACAGCATGACTCTGGGTGGTATACAAAAGCATTAAACAAAAATACAAAAGAAAAATAGCATATACCACTAAAGCAAACTAAAATAATTAAATGGCAATCAGGATTAAAATATACTGTATCTCATCAATTGGGATCCCTACTTATCCTGAACAAAGTGCCTGGGGAAAGAGCCAGGTCTTAATTGCTTTTCTAAAGGCTGCATACCTGGAGCCAACCAACTGAATACAGGGGTGGGTACGAGGAAATCATTCCAAAGGAAAAGGGCTACTACCAAGAAGGCATGCCTTCTCAGTCCTACAAAGTGACCTTGTTTCACTGAAGGAACCTGGAATTTGCTCTCCCTGTTGGAGCATGTGGGATGGGTAGATACCCTTGGGAAAAGGCAATCCTGCAAATAACCTGGTCCAATGCCATTCAGGGCTTTATATGTGTCAACTAGCATCTTGAATTTCACTTGGAAGCCTATAGAAAGCCAGTACAGTATGAGGAATGCCCATAACTATCCATGCTGATGCATTCTGCACCACTTGAAGTTTCCAGATGGTGTTCAAGGCAGCTCGATGTAGAGTGCATTGCAATAATCCAAGGTGTGAGTGACTGTGAGTAGGTTCCCCCTAATCCAGGAATGGGTGCAATTGGCGCACAAGACGATTTCTTGAGTGCGACACTCAAATTCAAATGTGAAATCTCTCCACTTCCAAGACCCATGGGGCCCCAAACCCACAGCCACTTGGACTTTGTAGGATTGAACCAAAGCCTGTTTTTCCCCATCCAGTCCCCAGACACTGGGTAAGAACTATGACAGCTTAATTTGGGCAGTCAGGGCAGAGTGATACAGTTAAGTATCATCAGTGCTATTGGATGACCTCTCCAAGCAGATTCATGGAGAGGGGAGAGTCCTGAGGCACCCCACAAAGGACATATCTAGGAGTAGGCACCCCCCCACCCCACAGCACCAACTGGAACCAGCCCTGGAGAAAGAAGAACTACCAGAAAAGAGTTTTCCCCACTCCCAGTCCCCTAAGCCAGTTCAGAAAGGCTGCTAAGAATTTAAGGATGGCTAGGGTGGACACAAATATATGACTGACTCACAGTGTTACAATTTCTGCTGAAATAATACTTTAACACAGATAATGCATATGTCAGGCTACAAAACAACAGCTACTTCTCAAGCAGCAGCCTATTATAGTACATAGCAAACTGGGAAAGAAATTCCAGAGGTAGCTTGTGTTATGAAACTAGGTTTGTATTTCTTTTTTCTTAAGGCAAAAATCTCACTAGATGTGCACTATCTCTGGTTGCATCCAAAGTGGTTCCCCCCTCCCATTCCTAGTCCTCATGTTATTGTTGTGCCCTTTCCTGCATGATATTCATAATTTTATTTTTGCAACTTATAATATAGATTCCTTTATGCTAAACATATAAGTAAGCACACTGACAGTAAAAATGAAACTGCAGGCCTCCTTAGTAAATCAAAATTGTATTAAAATGATGACAGCATCATGCAAACTCCATCCTTACATACTTGTGTTGGATGTTTGATGCAAGTTGTAGCTAGTGGTTTTTGCACCATGATGCAAATTTCAGCACTTCCCCCCATAGATTCCTATAAATAAAAATGAATATACAGTGCATTTGGAAAGTATTCAGACCCTTTACTCAGTACTTTGTTGAAGCACCTTTGGCAGCAATTACAGCCTC